GGAATCGAACTCATGACCTTGCACTTGGCAGGCAGGCACTGTGCCGCTGAGCTAAATCCCCAGCCCCCTGAATCGCTATATTTAAAAAAGTGATTTCATATGATAGATGTAGCATTCAAAACATAATGGGATGACTTTCCAAAGGAAGCCATTTCACCAGCTTTAAAGACACTTATTATGTATATGAATATGATACATTTAACTTTATGAACTGCAACACGTTTTGAATACATGGAAATTTGAAACAAAAACTTTTCTTTCTCTTCCTTTTCTCTTTGTGGCGCTGGGGTCCAAACCTAGTGCTTCACATGTTAGACAAGAACTCTGCTAACCCACAGCTCCAGGGCTCCACAGCACCAGCAGTGCTTGGAACTCTTCTGGGATCAAATAAATGTCTCAAGTGATTGGTAACCACACTTCCAATTTGAGGAACAGAGTTTAGAATGGCCATCTGGGATAACAGCAGACAAGGCTAAAACCTCTTTCCTACCCTCAGCATCGATTAGCGTGGAGGGTCAGAGGATACAGACGTGTCAGGGATCAGTGTATAAGAATGCTCAACAAACTGTTGTTGGCTTTTTGTTTGTTTTGAGACAGGGTCTTGCTATGTAGTTCAGCCTGGTTTTATTTATTTATTTATTTTTTGGTTTTTCTCCGGTACCGGGAACCGAACTCACGACCTTGCGCTTGCCAGGCAGGCGTTTTGCAGCTGAGCTAAATCCCCAGCCCCTCAGCCTGGTTTTAAACTCAGGGCAATCCTCCTGCCTCAGCCTCCAGAGTGTTAAGATTATGAGTGTGTGCCACCTTGTCTGCTTTACCAAACTGGTAGAGCAGTAAAAAGTTGAAACTTCCAAATGCTATATTTGAAGACTATTTCAATGGCACAATGGACAAAGGGTAGTATAAATCCGAGTGACACTGATGTATTAGTGACCCAGCACATGAGGTTCACTCACACTGTACACTAAGATGAACTCTAGTGATTTTTATAAACAAGATAATGGGGGCTCTTAAAATCGGAACTGCCAGGTGTGGTGGCCTATGCCTGTAATCCCAGCATTCACTCTGGGGCAGGCAGATCACCATGAGTTCAAGGCCAGCCTCAGCCACACAGTGAGTTCAAGGGCAGCCTGAGAAAGACCTTGTTTCATATAAAGTATTATTCATGAATCAACCTGTCATCCTCAGTGGTTCAAGGTCAAATGAGACTTTGAAAAACAATAAAAAGGTCTTTGACAGTCTTTGTCATGTAATATATATGTTTATAAAAAGAAAGTACTCAATAGTTCTGTATCCATTATAGCCTACCTGGCAGGAAAATTTCTCATATATACGTCTGGACAGAGACTCAAAACGTTGCCTGTAATCCCAGCATTCCAGAGGCTGAGGTAGGAGGATCACATCAAGTTCAAGGCCAGCCTGGACTACAGAGCAAGATCCTGTCTCATAAAAAAAACCAAGCAAGCAAAAAAAAAA